GGAAGGAAGGAAGGAAGGAAGGAAGGAAGGAAGGAAGGAAGGAAGGAAGGAAGATCATAATTTTAAAATGTATTTTCAATTATACATATTGATAAAGTACAGTGTGTTGTTTCAATACATGCATATATTGTACAGTGATTCACTCAGAGTAGATAGCATATCCATCCCCTGAACATTTATCATTTATTTGTGGTGATTATGTTCAAGATCCTCTTTTCTAACCATTTAGAAGTATACAATACAATGTTATAAGATATAGTCACCTTAGAACATCAGAACTTACATTATTAATAATGGCCAAATATTTCAAAAAAATTAATGTCCATCAACTGATGAATGAATAAATGAAATGCATATCCATACCATGGAATACCATTTGGCAATAATAAGGAAAGAAGTCCTGGCATGTGTTATACCACGGACAAACTCTTAAAACATTATGCTATGAAGCCAGTCACAAAAAAAACACATATTCTATGATTCCGTTTATAAAAATAGTCTGTAATAGGCAAATTTATAGAGACATATATTAGTTTAGTAATTGCCTGCGGCAGGGAGGATGCAGAAACTTGAGGTGGGGAAATAAAGGCTAAAGTGTACAGAGTTTTGGGGGAAAAAATAAAAATGCTCTACAACTGAGTGTGGTGGTGGATGCACAATTCTGTAAATATAGTATGAAGCACTGAATTTTACACAATAATTAGTGAATTATATGGTATGTGAATCATGTGTCAACAAAGTTCGAAAAAAATTTTCTTGAACCATAATATCCAAGAAATGCTGATTCAGCTGTATAATTACTTTACCTTTAGTTCTGTGTCAGGGAGGCTGAAGACATAAGAGCCTCTCATTTACACCTTTTCTTAACCTTATTCTGAAATATATTGCATGAGACAAGAGAATTGCACATGGAAGATCATCAATCTTAGCTAAATAACACTTATAAACATAAAAGAGACATTAAACAAACTTGTGTAAGCACCAGATTATCTAGCTTTGGTTATCTACCATTTGCCATCTGCATGCTCAGATGGTTTATATAATGTATTTACTTAGAAGACAAGGAGTTATAGTTTAACTTCTTGATTGATTTGTCTGTGGATATAAGCATGAGAAATGACAGAGAGGAATTGGAAAAGAAACACACCAAGATGTTGATGAAATGGACTTCCATTCTTCTGCTGCTACAAGTTAGTTGTTACTTTAGCTCTGGAAGTTGTGGAAAGGTGCTGGTGTGGCCCACAGAATACAGCCATTGGATGAATGTGAAGACAATCCTGCATGAACTTGTACAGAGAGGGCATGAGGTGACTGTATTGACATCTTCAGCTTCCATTCTTATTGATCCCAACAAGGAATCAGCTTTAAAATTTGAAGTTTATCCTACATTTTTAACTCGTATAACTTCGTATAATGTATGCTATACGAAGTTACTACGGAACAAAATACCTAAGAATAAATTTAACTAAAGATGTGAAAGACCTCTACCATGAAACCTACAAAAAGTGGCTGAAAGAAATTAAGGAGGGCACCAAAAAATGGAAAGACATTTTATGTCCACGGATTGGAAGAATTAATATTGTGAAAATATCTGTACTACACAAAGTTATCTACAGATTCAAAGAAATTCCCATCAAAATACAAATGATATTCTTCAAAGAAATAGAAAAAGCAAATCCTAACATTCATATGGAACAAAAAAAGACCCTGAAAAGCCAAAGCAATCCTGAGCAAAAATACACACATACATACATACAGACATACATACATAAAGCTAGAAGGATTACACTATGCTTCAAAGCTATGGTAACCAGAAAAGCATGGTTCTGGCATAAAAACAGACACACAGACCTGTGCAGCAGAATAGAGAACCCAGAAATCAACCAATGTGCTTACATCCAAATTATCTTTGACAAAGACACCAAGAACATACATTGAGGAAAGGAAAACAACTTCAGTAAATGGTGCTGGGAAACATGATATCCATGCATAGAAGAATGAAACTGGATCCGTACATCCCATCAAATACAAAAATCCACTTGAAATGGATTGAAGTCGCCATTGTTTCCCATAATGTAGTGGGTCTTCCTGAAGGAGAAAAAGAAAATGAAAGGTAGTTGACACACGGTAATTGTTATGTCACTATACCATTATTATTTCCTGAAAGGAGGTGGAATAATGTAGACAAAGGTATATAAAGTGTCTTTGCTTTAATAAAACAAATATATCTATATCTATATCCATATCTATTTTAAGCATAATTTAATTTTCATATGTTACCTATGCTGCTCATATGTATTTATAAGAAAGACAAACTATTAAGAGATTGGGAGAAGAGACTAACTCTCACAATCTAACATCACTTAAATATATTCACAATCATAAACAGTTATTAAAATAAGCCACTGTAGAATTAAACCTGCATTTGTTTACTCTCTAAAGATGCGATAGGAACATATACACATTC